AGTTTGGTGCAGAATCAGACACTAGTGAAGTATATGCAAATATTTAAATATCCTGGGCTCACATATAATTCTTATAAGGAATCAGATGTAGCATCGAATTCCTTGACTTGAGTCATTTCTAAGTTAGGAGTCACAGCTCAAATGTCAGCAGGGGCCAGGCTGTGACATCAATTTGTGAAATGGGCATGTGGTGGTAGCGAGGAATTGGAGAGTGTACACCACCTTAAAACGCACAGCTAATACTCAATACCAGTCAATGATTTTCATGCAAGTTTGTGGGCCTGCTTTCCAGCTTTTCTAACTTCTCAAGAAAAGCTCTGGATTTTAATGTGCAATCTCTTAATACTTTCCTTCAAGCAACTGAATCAATATTTAAAAAGACCTGTGTGACCCAAACAAAAAATGCCAGTTGATCAAATCTAGATTACTGATGACTCAAAGGAAACCTGTAATTGAGAGTGTTAGAGTCTTAGACTTTAGATGCCAAAACCATTGATAGATATCCCTGCTTTACCGTTTTCAAAGTGAAAATACCTCTTAATTGGGGCATTTAAATACTTGATTATTTTCCTAATATATACGTTCTTCATTTGTATAAGTATACCTTCTAAAAGGAAGTAGAATGCATAATTTTAACACCATGTTAAACACTAGAACACTTTTAAGTTAGGTTGTTTTGGCCTTCAGTTTGTTTTGAGGTATCTGGGAAAGATTTTTTGGCCAATACAAGTCATAAAATAATATAGAGTACTCTCATTTATGTTATAAGCCAGATGATATGAAAGACAACTTCCACTTAATATCTTATTATGTTTTATTCAGGACAGACGTCCTTATCAATTTACAGTTTAAGTTAAAAAATTGTTGTAGTATAAATTAAACAATAAATATTCATAGACAGTTTATTATATATCTAGTACTCTAATATCCAGTACTGTTATATAGAGTATTTTAGAAATAAAAATTTTATCGATAAGGAACTTACAGATTGTCACCTATAATTAAGTAAAAGATGGTCACCAATCACAAAATTATACAGTAAACTATGTAGACCATAAAATAGATTTGAAAATTATATACATACATGCATACATGTATACATATCTATAGATAGGTAGGTAGGTAGGTAGATAGATCCATCGATCACTATGGAGATCAATAGGGAAAGCTATAATTATATAACTGTATATGCATATTAATAGAGTGATAAATCATGTAACTCAGACCATCAGAGATTTGCTTCCACACTGAACCCTTCCCTCAACTTAAGTCTGTCATATTATACTGGCTTGTTTTCCCCTCTGCTTCCAGAAATGTATGAAGAGATGATTCCTACCTTAAAGACTTCCTTCAAACTTGTTGGTTCTCTTAACTATAATTTTGGTTACAACCTCTCACTATGAGGTTTATCAAAAGCCAGATTTATGTTGGCTGCCTCAAAGTCCTACTAGTGTTGAAAAAAATCTCTGAAGTGTGAGTTGTAGTTGAGAAGTCCAACTCCAGGCCAAATCCTGTCAGGCCCTATCATAGGCAATCACAAAGGCTTTACCAGGCAAGCCTCGGGGTAGGGGGAGGCTGCCCTCCCCACACCAGATTTAGTGCACAGTATGGAGGATTTGTAGTCAAGCACCCCCAGGCCCACCATGCTCTTCCGCATATCTGCATTCTCACCCCAGGTGCCTACATTCAGAGGTTACCTTATTGGAGGCCCTTGGCCAAGGCCTCTCATAAGTGCGTCTGTCAGACTATCTTATGGGGACCTTGATACTTTTCTCCAATATGACTCAGTATTGAGTATTTTTCTTCTCCTAGACCATTCCTTCCTTCTGCTCTCCCCCACCCCCCCCCCCCCAAAAAAAAAGCCAGCCAGAACCTTTGGTTCAGGGCTCCCTCAGTGGAGAGGCAATGCTCGGCTTTTGCGCTGATACTCTGAGCTTTGCCCAGTGCCGTGCCCTGGGGTTTTAAAAATGCGGCACTGGTGGAGCCAGCACCTTCTTTCTGGCCTCTTGCTTGTACTATCACAGTAAATGAATAAAAGCTTAATTATTACTTTCATTTTGGCTTGTTGTTTTAATTGACTGCTCTGACTTCTGGCAGCTCAGCTCTCTCCTGCTCAGCTCTTGACAGTAGCTCTCCACGATGTAATGGAAATAGCTGCTGAAAGTCATCCAAAGACTGATGTTCAGACCCAGTACAGTGTACTACTTGTTCATTATCTTATTATTTATTTTCTCTCTGATTTATTTGAGACGTTTGATGACTCTCTCTGCCCATCTCCCAAAAGTCTTACCATTTGGAACTTACTACCTATAGAAAGGGCATGATGATCGGAGTCAGATTGTTTTGAATTTTGGCTCTGCTTCTTACCTCCTATAGGAATAAGTCACAAAGTATCTACAAGCCTTAATTCCCATATCTTAGGACATAACATTGCTAATATTAATACTTCAAAAGAATGTTTTGAGGATTAAATCTAAAATGTATATTGTAACCTTTTTGGAAAATTCTAGAAAGTCTCAACTTTTTACTAGTCTTTACTCCTGCTTCAATGACTATTTTTTTCTTATTACTGTCCTTCCTTTTCCTATCTCATTACGCAGAGGCTCTCTCAGAAATAAATCTTTAGGCTTTCCCCATTTTCTTTTCCACTCTTTTCCTCTCAAAGCAATATTTTATTTAATTATCCAAAAATGTAATATTTCAGTGAAAAATAGTCAAATTAAACAATCCAGGATCTAAGGACTATTGCAATAGGAAAATCTACTCAACTATTTGTTTTAATTTTAGTAAAGTTATTTTGAAATTGCTTATCATTTATACACTATAACATTCAACAAATAAATTTTCATATATACTTTTTCCTTTTTCCTCCATGTCTCCTTTCTTCTCCTTAGTATATTTCTCTGTCATTCCTTTACAGCTGCTGCACAAAATGTCTGATCATGAGCAACACGGGTTTCAGAGATGCTCATCCTCTTTCTGGCGTAGTAGTGACGATTCATCTCCCTGTCTAAATATTTCTTCCATTACTGTCACTCCTGTCAACTCGCCTGATTCCAGACTATCATTGGGACTGTTAGTACCACCACCTTCTAAATGTGGCCTTCCCAAGCCAATCAGTGAGAGCAGCATCCCAAGACCTCATGTAATTTGCTAAACAGAATTTTTTTTTATTATCCTACTTATTTTTTTTTTAATTCTGCCAAAATGTGCCATTTATATAGTAATGAAAAAATCAGGTATGTCTTGAATCAATATGTTGTGATCTGGGGACTTTGTGTGTCATTTTTGCTTCCTTTGCTTACCTGATATCAGAGTTTCAAGTAGGGAGTAGTGATGGTATAAAAATCCACAGAAAGATGAAATAGGACAGGTACTTCCAAAATCCATCAGATATGGCAATTGGGAAATTCGGTCATCAGTGATATTGGTAAAAACAGTTTCAGTGGAGTTCAGCAAAAAGAGCAAAGTCTAGACTGATGTGAGTTGAGGATTGAATGAAGGAAAATGTAGAGCAGGAAATGTAGTACCTCTTTCAAGGATCTTAGCTTTGAAGGGAAGAGAATGAGAGGTGAGAGTCTAGAGGAGTAAAGAAGGACAGAATAAAGACAGTTTTGGTTGGTTTGTTTTGTGTTTAACATCAGTCGAGATTGAGTATCTTTATATTCTGCAAAAGAGGAGAGAGATGGAAGCCAGGGGAACTAGAGGGATGGGATTAGGAGAACAATGCTCCTGAGTAGGGGGAAAGAGCTGAGGGATAAGGTTGCCGTGAAGTCTTTGGGTGGTATTTATGACTGATAAAGTCAAGAAACTGTTAAAGAAAGGGAGATGGCAACAATTTTCCTGCATGAGAAATGTGCTAACAGTCATGTTAACTGAAGAGCACATCTATCACTCTACACAGTTAGCCTTATTTTTCATCATTGTCTGCATCTGTGAATCAGAAAAATAAATGTATTCTAAGAACACTAATTTTAATATGAACCACTTTAAGCAATTTCTGTTCATGTTCTTATAAGAAAAGCAAATTTCTCCTTACTATTCCTCTCCAAAATGAGAATTCTCTTTCTTTAGAATATATATTTATTATATTATAGATTATAGATTATAATATTAGACTATAATATATAACTATAGATTATATATATGTTATATATTATACATATAATCTTTGTGTGTGTGTGTGTGTGTGTGTGTATATATATATATATATATAAATAAATAATTTTTTTCCCTGTGCAGCAAAGTGATGATTGTTTCATTCTTACATTATGTCCTGGCCCAGTCTGGCCCAGATAACTTAATGATTTTGGTGGTATATTTAGTAATTATTAATTTATTTCACAAGGTAGCTATTATGGAAAACAATGAAATTTTATTTCAGGAATGAAAGGCACTACAATGAATATAATAGTTGGCTGCCATTGTAGTTATAAATACAAATTAAGATATATTCTTTAAAGTTTTTAAAACTTTATTATTTTAAAATAAAGTTATTTTTAAAATACAATTTTGTTGGTTTTACAAGTTGTTTAAAATTTAAATAGTTTTAAAATTTTATTTTAAAATTTTTAAAATAATGTTGTGTAAGATTATACTTTAGTTATAATCTTATACAAAATATATTACTAAAATCATGTTTTTATACAGTTCTAACATGTTTTCAATTCTGTGATATAAATGGCAATTATTTCTAGATATACAAAAAATCCAGTATATCTTTTATATCTTTCTAGAATAGTATTGTCACCATTTTTACCATCATCTTTGAGAACATTTTTGTTTTTGGAGAAATTTTCTTGCCAATGAGCATTTGGCATAACTGGTTGAATCATAGGAACTTGCCAGTATTTAACTATTTTTTATCTACAAAATGACAAGTTTATATGATTCAACTGAATTTGTTGTTGTTTATATATGTTTTATATGTATATGAAATATTTAACATTATAATGTGTCTACATGAAATACTACCCTAATTAATATTATCTTCATTGCAGGCAGGCAGTCTGACACCTAAGTCACCCTCCACTGACATCTTTGATATGATTCCATTTTCTCCAATATCACATCAGTCTTCGATACCTGCTCGCAATGGCACGCAGCCACCTCCAGTACCTAGTAGATCTACTGAGATTAGTAAGCCTTCTAAACAAATCAATATTCTGTGCTGTATTTGTGTACATTTTAAATGTTTAATTAACACTGTATGAAAAATTATGTATCTTAACAAGCTCACTAAAAATTTTAATCACTAAAGTATTATGTTTATATATACATGCCAAATTCAGTTAATTATATTTTACTTTATTTTTTTTTTATAATTTTATTTATTTATTTTTCCCCCCAAAGCCCCAGTAGATAGTTGTATGTCATAGCTGCACATCCTTCTAGTTGCTGTATGTGGGACGCGGCCCCAGCATGGCAAGAGAAGCAGTGCGTCGGTGCGCGCCTGGGATCCCAACCCAGGCTGCCAGCGCAGAACGCACGCACTCAACCACTAAGCCATGGGGCCGGCCCTTGCTTTATAATCAGAACATACTACTAAAAACATCACTATTTGCATTTCAAACTGTTTTATGAAAAATGATATTTTCATATAGGTTTATTTACATCATAATACAAAGCACTTAATTATATTTTTATTTTGTTTGGAATTATATTTTTAATGTTTTAATTTAATGATTACAAACAATTCTGGTGATAATTATTTTAACCATTTTTGGCATACTTAATAGAGCTTAGCTTAAATTTTTTGTTATCATAGAGTATACGGATAGTCTTAGTTGAAGAAATATATAAATTTATGAATTCCATGATTTGTTTATTTATTACCCCTATGTAAGGGTTCTTTCTTTGATAACTAAATTGATATAAATGCATTGCTTTTCTGATTAACCTTTTTATATCTGCAAGGCACATAAAAGTCTCTTTCTGATGAATTAGCAAGCATCCAACAGATGCTCATTGTCAATGTCTTGGCTTTATTTTGATCTGTGCCCTGTCACAGAAGCTAAAAGAATAGTTCCCAATGGCCATGATCAGTCATGATGTCCAAAGGGAAACTGAAGAAAAGGGAGTTTCACATATTATGCTTTATTGCATCCTCTCTGGTTCACATTAAGACATTTTCAATATAACTCTGAAGTTTTACCTTAAGGCTTTAAAGCATGTCAGGGCCTATAGTTTATTTGTTTCTCCCTGTGGAACTTAACAAAGTACGTTACACATGTTAGGTATTCAATAAATTTTAGAGGACTAATTTGCAAATGCAAAGTAATAACATTAGGAACTGTAAAAGTGGGTTTACAAAAATATTTCCATACTTTACATAAGTTCAAATATATATTTAAATTCCTCTGAATATATTTTGTGACAATGCAAAATATTTTTTTCAAGGAAATAATCCATATTATACATGTCACAGTGTGTTTTTAGAAAATGTTGACAATATCCTGATATCATAATGGGGTATTGTTTGTTCTTAGGAGTGTCCCACATCTCTTCCTTACCACTGTTTTTTATTTCTGTGGACTTCATCATTGATTTACTCATTCATTTATTTAGTTCAATGAGCATTTGTTTAGCATATTCACTAGACTTGGGTTACATGCTGGAATTTGAAATATAAATTAGCAGTGTATCCACAGTGGAGGGTCTTAATCCAAGTTGAAATATAAATTGAGAAGAGTGAATAGATTTTAAGACATTTGGAAGGAATAATCTATCAGGATGGTGATTGAGAGTTCAAAATCAATTGTGATTCAGGATTTTAGAGCAAATGTTAATGGGAAAACTAGTCGTAGAGAAGGGGAAAATAATGATTTCTGTTTTAGACATTGATGAGTTTGAAATGCCTTTGGAAAATTTAGGCGGAGATGGTCCAATGGTTTTAAAGGATTTATTAATGAGAAACTGAAGTAATTTTTTAATGTCTACCTGAGTGCCATAGTTTAGTAAATACAGCAATACATCAATAGATAGAAAGATTAGATAGACAGACAGATAGAGAGAGTTCTAGGTACCATTATACAATATCTATCTATCCATCTATCCATCTTTCTTTCTATCTTTACTAACAATTTAAGGATGAATTGTTCAACTCAATTTTAATTGTAAAATTGTCTAAAACTCTAATACAGTGAAGTTTTAGTAATAGGACTTTTTCTTAAATGAAACCTTAAATGTATTCATTCATTTATTTTTTATTATCTACTAACTACATAAAAGCAGAAACCTACCAGATTGTTCCTTAGTTTTACTCCTTACTGCCTGAGAACTCTAGTAGTTCTCCAGAAGGTATTTTTGATCTTTGAATATGTAATAGATTTTAATTCATTTGTTTAATACTATGTTTCCTGATTGACTATGTATTCCATGAGAGAAAAGGACTTGGTTCTTTCTTCACTACTTTAATCCGTTGCCTAGCAAAATGCATGGCACATAATATGTGTTCAATAACTATTTAGTGGATAAAGGAAAGAATGATTGAGTGAAGTGTTACCTATTAGTCTTTATTCTTTTACTCTTGCATTAGACAAATAATTTAAATGTTAATTACATAGCAATTTTTTTCATTGGAAGTTGAACTTATGTGATTTTTTATGAACTTTAGACCCATCTGAGCTGACCAAAATATGCCAAAGAGCTCTGTAATGTTTATTAATTTACTTGGTATTAATATTTTTACTTAATATGTACAGTAGAAGTTTCTTAACTTGTGGGGAGTCATGGACCCTTGAGAATATGATAAAAGTTAGGAAACCTCTTCACAGAAAAACACAACACACCCAATCATACAAAATTTTGCATTACATTTCAGAAATGTCAAGGATCCCTTTAAGCTCATCTGAAATCTCTGGTGTTTTTGAGTCCCAATTTCAGAAAATCTGTATAATAAAAATCTCTTTTCCTTCTGATCAGCTCTCCTTCCTCTTCATTAATTCATTTCTTTGGACCAGCATCTATCTTACGTAAAGCATTGTTCGATGTGCTCGTGGTATGGTGGTAACCAGGACACTCCTCCAAAGAAAGGTTCCTCTGTTCTCTAAATTCTGGTTTATTGCCTAAGCAACATCAGACTGAGGAAAATAAGTAATAACAACAACAACAATACCCATCGGTTATATATAAGGTGGCAATAAATTCCCATTTGTTGAAGACAGTCCTGGCTTATACCTTTTGTCCTGGTGAAACAGGCCACACAGTCCTGGTCACACTCCTTTCACTCTTAAAAGTGTCTATTTAGATGATAAATTATATGTCCTTCTTATTTATGCAATACTTGCCAGCACCAGGAACTTCTAAGAATTTTACATTTATTAACCTATTTTATACATAAATCTGAAAAACAAAAACCCAGCTATAACTAGAGAAGTAATCTTTTGTAATAGGAGTCACAGAGTGATTTTAGAAGATATGGTAGAACTCAAGAGGCATAAGTATTATTTCTTACATGGCATTGAATTTAGAGAAAATAGTTTTCTGCAAAATGAAAGTCTTAATACATTATGAATTCTCATGCCCTATATAATTAAAAAATTTTTTTGTCAATTAAAGCTGCATTTGAATTGATTCAGAGGAAAGAAATTTCTTAACATTTTTTTAAATTTTTAAATCACGTAAGCCATAGTCCTATCAATTACAAACATCAATTTTAATTTTGATACTTAGTGACTAAAAAAAATACATACTTTAGAATGTATGTACAGAGAGCTTTTTGATACTCCATTGCTGCTATTTTTGAAAAGAAATTTCTTTTTGGGATAGGGGACATTTTTAAAGAACCTGTCTCATTGTGGTTATATAGGAGGGTGATATGATTTCATGCTACATGAGATGATATGCCTTAAACTTTTTCTGGCTAAAAGGTGAGATTAAAGTACATGAACTACGAGAAAAACTACTTACTAATCTACTCAGTCCTACATATTGCTTCGCTGTCATGTTGCAAAGTCATCAGTAAACAGAATAGGGAAGTCTCAATGAGTAGTACATTAATTTTAGTACATTTAAATTGCTTCAGTAAAATGTAGGTATTGTGTAATATATTAATTATCAAATATTTGGTGAATTTGATATTAAGAAGTCTTAATTAAAGACTCAGAAACCTTTCTGGATAATAATTCTTTGTAACCAAACAATTTTTAATATCATAAAATGGATCTTTGCTTCCTTCTTACTGTTTAATTAATCTAAGCTTGGGAAAGCCCAGCATGAAGTGTAAGTGTGGATAGGGGCTCATTTGCTCGTGTAAATATTTCTTGACACAATCCTGCCTTTGAACTCTAACTCACCCCAACTCACTTCTTGTCATTTCGTTTACTAAATTGTTTTCTTCCTTTTAGAACGGGACCTGTTCGGAGCAGAACCTTTTGACCCATTTAACTGTGGAGCAGGGGATTTTCCTCCAGACATCCAATCAAAATTAGATGAGATGCAGGTGACTATTTTAACAGATTGTCCCATAAATGGTTTTTGTCCTTTTTAATATGGAACTAAGAGAACGTTATATATCAAAACTACCCTTTCCTTAAATTATCACTATAAAAACTTACTTAAAATAATTATTTTAAAATAACAATATACATTTAGTCCTAAAAATACTCCACAGTTGCTAAGGATATGGTGTGTTTTGTTTTGTTCTTAATGGTGCAATTTACAATGGCAACAAGATAATTTTATACAAAATTACATGGATTCTAATGGTTCATTATTTTGAAGTCCACAAATTAAAAGGTCATTGCACTAGATTTATGAGATTTGATCTCAGTCAACAATTATGGATTTCAAAATTGTGAATGAGTGGATGAACCAAAATCTTTGTAAGAGTAAAATCAGTCTCTCTTAAAAGAAGCATTGTAGCTGTTGGTCATAATTTCTGGGCTCTTATTGAAAAAGCAGACACCCAGTGACAACATTTTTGGGAATGTAGTTCAGTTGGGTTTTCATTTCTCTCTCTCCCTTTTATTTTTCAATTCTGAATTGTTCTGGAAGTTTGAAGATATTGGTTTTAAAAGCTTTCTACAGTGAGCCATGATTAATAAACAGTCTTATAAGCACTAGAATAAAGTCTTCTCTTTATATTTGTCCTTTACATTTTGGTGAAGTTATTGTATCTTATTTTTCATCAGAAAGACTGTATATGGTAGAATGCAGGCAAAGACCAATTCTATGAAGCTGATTGAGAAAAGGAGGAGAAGAGAAGGAGTCATTTCCATTTATTAGGGCTGGGTTAATATATTCACTCTTTATGCTTCATTTCCTGGAAAAAAAAAAATTAATGGGTGGATTCTAATCTTCCAACATTGGTAAAACACTCTTAGAAAGATAATATGAATACCCTTCCACTCATTTTGGACTGCAGCTATGAGGCAGTCTTCTCTAGGTATTATGTGATTTTCCTTCTTGTTCTAGATGTAATAATGCCTGCACTTTACAAGTTGGATTATTTAACATATGCCTTGAGGTTTTCAAAGATTATGTTAAAACAGCGTTTCTCAAATTGAGTGATTCACAATTCCCTTTTACATAAAAAGTTATTTTAAATCCTTAATATTGACTTAAATTGTTATTAAAACATTTCTTAAATATTTACAAGAAAGTTATAAACAACTTATCCTTATAGCTCTTAGGCAATTATTAATCCAAAACTTATAAATTAAACAAAAGCAAAATTACAACACCTGATAAAATTCAAATTCAGAACTTTAATATAATAGGATGGATGATGTTATTTGGCTGAAACTAAAACCACCAATATCAAACATCTTCAGCATGTATCCCGTTTGATGGCACAATTTCCCCACCTCTTTTCTATATTTCAAATGCTACAAACTTTCACTCAAATCATGCATGATTATTTAGTGAAGTCAATTCCTTTCCTTTTTCATTAGTTTTATCAATGAGGCTTGTACTACTTGGGACTAACGCTCTTGTAGGAACAAACACAAACATGTGCACTGATGTAATAGTAGTTGTTCTCAAGGGTTATGCAAATTATAAAGAGTACTTTCCTATTCATGTTTTTTAGATTTTCACAAAACTGAAAAGTTTTCTATAGATTTTAAAGAAAGCCTACATCTCCAGACTTTTGTAGGAACCCAGTTTGAGAAACACGTTATTGGTACGATTTAGTGATGTGTTAGTCAAATAATGTTAAGCTGTGGTAGTTTTGTATTTATTTTTGTCATTTATAATATTTTCTTAATGTCTTTTTTATTCTTTTCTGCTTTCATGATGGGTAGCGCCAGAGATGGTTGGTATATTGTTTTCATAATAATTTTAAACAACTTACAACTTCTTAAAGCTAAAACCTTAATGTTTGCATGCTTTATTTAATAAATATTCAAACAGCAGTTTCATATGGATATGTCTGATTATTAGTCGTGTTTAAAGAGGTTTTATAACCCATATTTTAAAGTTGTTTTTTCAATGACTTAGTCACTATTGCATTGTCCATCTCATTGCTTGTCTGTTTCTTTTAGTCCAAAATTTACTTGCAAGGTCATTTTAACTAAAGTAAAATAATATTTTCTTTATCTATAGTCTATGATGACATTTGTTATTAATCTTGTTAGCCTAATTAATCTAATACACACATTTAGCTACTATTTTTATCTTTGCATATAGTGTAAAAAGTTAATACAGTATGATGGGTTGTATAAACCATATTGAGTTAATAAGCCTAGTGAAATATTTGGTTTTCCTCTTTCATTTACAAAGGATATCACACAAATATCTCATGCATGTAAGAATTTAAGCAGAAATGTTAAGCCAAATTTCATTATAAATTATTAGAAAATTAGATATTTATTTGAAATCAATAATGTAGTTATTTGATTTGACACAATTTAGACTTCGTGGTACATGTCACCAACAGGCAAATAATATTGATAGCACAGAAGTATACCTTGTAAGTTATAATAATCTAATACATTAAAAAAGAAGCATGGCAAGTCAATGAAGGATGAAAGAATTTGTCATTAAGTGGCGTTAAGTCAATTGGTTAATAATTTGGGAGATCAATTTACAGCTGAAACTTAACAGCAAATACCCAAATAAATATTAGAAGCATTAGGCAGTTTAAACTGTTTTAAATGCAATTGAATATTTATCAGACTTTTGAATTAGAGGGAAATTTTTATAAGGACAAGAAAAATATGTACATAGAGTCTTCTATAGGAGAACTTCTATGGTTCTTAATTTTCTCTGTAAAAGTATATTAATATATCACATACACATAATTAAAGTAGGTAGACAAATGATTAGGAAACTAAACAGTCAACAGATAAATAAAAAAGCAGTAGGGGGCCTGCTCGGTGGTGTAGTGGTTAAGGTCCTGCACTCCATTTCGGTGGCCTGGGGGTTTGCAGGTTCGAATCCCAGGTACAAATCAACACACCACTCATCAAGCCACGCTGTGGCAGCGTCCCACATACAAAATAGAGGAAGATTGGCAACAGATGTTAGCTCAGAGCCAATCATCCTCACCAAATAAATAAATAAATAAATAAATAAATAAAAATTAAAAAGCAATAGTTCACAAAAGACCGCAAGTAGCTAACATAGATGTAGATATGTTCAGTCTAATCAAAGAAAACATACAAATTAAGTAAAGAACTATAAATGCTATTTTAATCTAGCAAATTGAACATTTTATTTTCTTATCAATAATCAGTGCAGGGAAAGTGTGATGAAATAAGCACTCTAAGTCATTGCTGGGCCAGGGTCAGTTCATAGCATCCCTTTGGAGGGTAACTTGTTAATACTTGTATTTCTATTTGATATTGAAAACTTTAATACAGTCTATTCTGTGGCAAAAATAACTATAAATGTGGAAAATCTCTATGCACAAAAACATCCAGTCTACTTTATTAATAATTATAAAATAGTGGAAATAATTAAATTATATTAAAAATTTATAGAATATTATATAATCATTAAATTAGTTTTACAGGGACTCAAAATAATATAGAAGTTTGTTCTGTTAAGAGTAAAAAAGAATATACAAAATTATACATAATATATATAATACAGTTAAGTAAATAATAAAATTATAATATATAGTTATTTATATTATTAAAATTGTTTAAAAAAATCTATACATAGAAAAAAAGAGACTCAAAGGACATACCTCAGTATGTTAACAATTGTAGCATAAGAGTGTTTTTATCCTTCCTTGATATGCTTTTCTCCCTATTTCAAAATAAAAAAATTCAATTGGGCAAAATATTTCATACAAGAAGTATATTACTAATAATATATTAATAATAAAATCATTCTGTTGTGTGATATTAGTTTATGCTAATTTCCATCACTACATGAGTAAAGCCTCATTTTGATTCAGAGGTTTAAAATTCAAGAGGGTATGGAAACCTTAGAGGGATTCAGAGTCCATTAAATCATGATTTACTAAATGAGACCCAGGAGCAAAGGTCAGAAGATGTGTGGGAAATTTTGTCTTAGGAGGAAAGAAAACCCAGGAGCCATTTAACAATGTGTCTGTTGATAGGGGTGATTAAGTTAATCTCAGGTGACTCCGAAGGATCCTTATAAAATCACCACAGGGGTATTCTTGTAAGTGATACACAGACTTTTTTTTATTATTGAAATAGTGATCGACCCCTATTTTACTTTAAATGCTATACTGCCTTTCAAATAATGAAACATATTGATTTCATATTGATTTCAAACATATTGAAACAGTATTTTCAAGGTAATTGAAGTGATAGTGGTTTAATTTCAGAAAGCACTGATAAAATTTAAAAAACACTGTATGGGATCAAACCTTCCCAAAGGTAATATATATCCAATTATCTATGTATCTGTGTATATATCTATCTAATATACCAGAAGATGACATAGTACCCAGATCCTCAGATATCCAAATAAAATATTTTAAAAGACAGTTTATTTACAATATTTTTCAATTTAAAGTACTGACTTTAGTAAGTATGTGGCAACTGTTTAAAAAATATGCATATGTATGACAAAATATTTCCTCTTGTGATAAGAACAGGCTTTTAAAAAATAAAGGTAAGTACTCTGGCTTTTACTCAACTAAATGTGATTTGTTAAGTACTGGGAAGAAGTTGTGAAAAACCCTTGCTGTGATGGCATTGCTATGTGGTCTTTGTGTTGTAGACATAGTGAAGAGCATTCTCGGAACATTAATAGCGATTAAGGTGTGGCTTACAGTTTTATAATGATTTTCGTCCTCTATATGATAATGTTTACATTGGATTTGTAATAAGATAAGTACATTAGTTACCTGTTCTAAATGAAAATAATTTTGGGAAATGCAAAGAGATACACAATAGGTTAACACACAAGTAGATACGGTCTAATTAAAACAAAACACAAAGCAGACAGCGGACAAAAGCCTTCTCTTGGAAAGACATTTTCTTTTCCTCATGAATAGATTGCTGTCTACATTTCATTTGCCAATAATTTGTCACCTGACCACCCAAACTACAAATTACCTCCCTGAACAAAATTTCAGTTCTTAGCAAGAAAGAAACGTAGGTATATATAGAGAGAGACAGAGAGACAGAGAGAGAGAGAGAGAGAGAGAACACTGCCACACTGCTTCTACAAGGAAACCTAAAATGTGGCCTTCAATTCCACTGTTTAATGTGAGTCTGTGCTTTTGTAGGCCAGCATGCACAGATTACGGGCAAGGGTGGGGTAAGGGTAGATGGTAAGACCAGAGATAGCCCATAGTTCCATTATTTTATGCAAAAAAGAGAGCTTGGAGTAGAGAAGCACAAACTCCTTTGCCACTAACTTTTAACTCAAAATCTTAGGGGCGAAAAAAATATTCTCGGTAATTGTGTACTTACTCTCCAAAAATCAAAAGCATCTTAACTTCCAGAAACATCTAAAACATGCTAGGAGAAGTGAGATTCAAAGCAACAACTTGCAGCTACAAGGAACAGCAGGACTAGTAGGGGAAGCTTTCTCCCTGGCAAAGGAGTCTGCAGTTCTGTATTCTACATACGACATGGCATTGCGTTTACTAAATCTATTTACCCAGGCTCCGGACAGGGGTAACCAGGAAGAAAAGGTGAAAACTATCAGGCTCTCTTGAACCTTCCATCAATTTGAGGTCTAGCTATCTCACTTATATTTAAATGAATATTGGTCCTTAAAGCCAACAGAGGGATGTAAGCTATAGTAAAATGGCATAATTAAAAGACTTTACTGAAAAAGAAACATTCAAGTCTTAAAACTACTTAATTCCATATATTTCTGTTTTCTTCAGTCTTTCATGCATGCTAACCTCACATATATTTAGAGCATTTAAAGTGCTAATGGGCGTGAAGAACTGCCTGGGGTATACACCTATATAAAAATTTGACAAGCCAACATTTGACATATTATTTCTAAGTTGATCAAAGCATGAAGATTTCAACTTCTGTTCATAGAATTTTTTATATACTGATTTTTTTTTTTTTTTTTTTTTGCCGTAAGCATTTCCTGTTTTAATGATTTTACTCTGTTTTACAGGAGGGGTTCAAAATGGGACTAACTCTTGAAGGCACAGTATTTTGTCTTGACCCGGTAGACAGCAGGTGCTGATGCCAAGAAGAAGAGATCCTGATTCATGTTAAATTTGTTTTATATACGTATATATCACTTGTTATTACTTTATGACAGCTATTATACATGTGCCAATATATTTTTGAATATCTAACTTTTTGAAAATTATTTCAGTAAAATTTCCTCGTACATTCACTGTTGATCTGTAATGATTTATTTTAAAAACAACTTGTTGAAAAGTAAATCATACTTTTATGTTCCTTTCTATCTGTTGTAGGTGAATTTATAATTGAAAGACAAATTATCCAAGTATCTGCCTTGTGTCTGAGTTCTAAATAATTAGCATCTTGAAATTTGTGTTCATTCTCCAGGCTGCTAGTGTATTATTGATTCCCAAAAGTCATACTTTAATGATACCTTTGAAAGTCCTGAGGAGACATACCAATATCAAAATAAATATGTTCTATATTCAAACCAATAAATATGTTATTATTCATTAGACATATGCCATTTTATGTATTAAATGTTGTTCATATCATTGGGAAAATATAAACTTTGAATATAATGCCACCAGGACATTTTTAGCAGGTAAAAAAAACAAAAATATAAATTCCAATAAAAATTAAACCAAACATATTTAGAGTATTTATTAGTAAAAACAAGGTAATAATGTTAATTATTATGAATTTTACTCTAAATATTTTATTTACTTCATAAATAAAGTTTGTGGGGAAAAAATGAAAATTTCTCTTTACTAAACACTTAAAATTTAATTTCTAATGAGATAAGTTATATTGCTAAACATCTAAACATCATCTGATCTGATGTTTCCTAAAAGACATTTGAAATGTATGCTGTTTATGGTTGCAATGTCTATTACCCATATTTCCTTTACCAAATATATTTTTTCTCACTGAATAAGATTATCCAATATTTTCTCCTTTGATAAAGACATTTTCTCAGCAAAGCTTATTTTGTGATGCTCCCTTAGGTTTCATACTTTAAAATCTACGGCAAGTATTCTTTGCGAGTCATCAATAATATTTAGCAAATTTAATTTGTATTTGTTTTGTTGAAGGCATAATCTCATTTTTCACAAAAATCAAGTTGCTGCTTAGTAGTCTAACATGAACAATAAAATTTTCTTGCACCTCATTCTTGATGTGCCAATAAACCCTGACCTTATAAAAAGGTTGTTTCCTATGCCTTTGCCCATTACGTACAGACTGTAATTTGTACTCACTCCAACAAAAATGTATGGTTAAATTTATAATGTGCTTCATCACATTATGAGAAAAATGAATTAAATTAATGAAAATGTGAGCTTAGATGGGAGGTAGATCTCAAAAAAAGATTTTTCTTTTACTCGTGGAAAATTTCATCAAGTGATAAAGGTACATTTTCACTAGGAAATGAAATCAAATATGCTTATGCAATATTATATTTGTATGTATCTTCATAACGTTCTATAGTATATATAAGCCTTCTTGTTTGTTTTCTATTATCTGCTAAGTTGTACCTTAATTAGAGGGTAGTAAATATTTCATAAAGAAGAGTCTTTATAATTTTGTTTGTCATATAGTATTTTGGAATTTGTATAATGAGGATGTTTAGAAGCCATATCAATGGCTTTTTTTAACAGATAGAATTTGTATTTTTATTGTACTTTAAAAAGCTTTATGTAATAGGTATATATTTAGTGGCCATTTATGGTTAACACAATAGAGTATACTAAAATGGTATTTGCACATTTAAGATATGTTACTTTACCAATTTTTAATGGTAATCAATTCTACTACTGGCATGATTAAATAATACATAATTGGTCATTAATTATGAACATTTATTTCACCAGTGCATTTTTTTGAAGATCCAGTTGAAAATTGTATTTCTATGTAAACTCAATGATATGTTTGATTTTGCCAAGAATAAATGATTTTAAATAAATTGTATAATTTATTCATTCAATAATCTCTAATTAATTTAGACACATTCTGGAACCAATTACATAACAAATTTTCCTGGTCATAAAATGGAGTCAAAAGAAAAAGAGAGAGAAAGAGAGACAAAGAAGGAAGGAAGAAAGGAAGGAAGGAAGGGCTTTAACTTCATTTTTTACAGCCCACACACATTTTAACTTTATGAGCAAATATCATTCAGTTGTGAAAACAGTGGACTTGATCCTGCTGGTGAGAGAGGTCATAATTTGGTTCCTTTCACAAGAAGCATCTGGTGCAATAAGTGTATTATGTAAATATCTCTTTTCAAAATTGAGAGTCTTTTTAGCCTAGTAATAATACAAAGTGTGTCTTGGCTGATAGTCTTAAAACGGTGGACTTGATCATAGGACTTGAGTTGTGACTAACTGGAATATCATGAGGAAGTTTTTAACCTATTCAAAACACAATGTCAAGTATTTTAAAGACATACGGGACTCACATGCACAGCCTTTGCACACCAATGAGCGATTCATCAATCCATTCAAAAAAAATTATTTATTACTCATTCTGTATGAATAACATGTATTATGTGGGTAAGAAAACATCTACTAAGTTTGCTAACAGATATTAAGTTGAAGATGACCAGATCCTTGCCTTCAGTTAGCTTCTTGTCATAAAGGAATAGTAAGGCAAATATGTGAATTAATAAATAAAAACCAATGTGTATTAAAGTACTGTGTGAACCAAAACCTTCCCCCAAGAACACTTATGTTTAAATTTGGGTACCTAGCACTGGCTAGTGTCTATAATCTCAGGTATCTAGTATGAGACTTATCAAGATAGGCCAATGGCAATAATTTTCCTCACCTCTTCTTGTTTCTTATGTTTTGGATTTGAATTTTTTTCAAAAAACATTGGTCACGTTATGAGAATTCCTTTCCAGTAGAATTTCTGATAGATTTTGCATTGTTGTATTTCTAAATACTGACTTTTTTTTTACTTTTTTTGATGTTCTTAACATAACCATAAAAGAAACTGGCTGTTAATATTTTTCTGTTGCAATGTTTCCATATATAGTTCCAAATTCAATATTTATTCATGATTTTGGATTTCAGCCTCTGTTAAATTACTTGAAGAATCTTGAACTATATTTTGACAACTAAATCTCAGACTCCACCTAAATGACACCCTTTATAGGCAGCTAACACTCTGTGGAGATGGGCGTGCCTAGTATTGCCCTCAGACCCCTCTGTCTCATGCCGGAAGGGCCTAACTTTAGTGTCTTTTCCTTCCTAGATAACCTCAGACAAATTTCTCAAGAACTTCCTCCGCCAATGCCCCTCTCATAAATTTGACACAAACCTTGATTCTTACCCCCTTGCTCCATGTCTTGATCTTATGATGTTAAGGTACAAATGTAATGCACTTCTAGAAATCTCTCCCTTAAAACATATTTTCTCTGGAATTCAAAGTGGGATTCCCTTACTCTAGTGAGGAGACCACCTCCTAAAATAATTTATGGTCTTATTTCCTTGCTTTCAAGTGAATTTTTATGAACTATGGATGATATTTCAATAGCAGAAGACATTACCTTTCTCTGGATTCATTTATTTTCACTCTAGCTCATGGATTCTAAGTCACATTACTCCCAAAATCATAGTTAAATAATATTCAAAAGATGCTATATCTAAGGAGTCGAATTTAAAGGCTCATTTCAAAATTTTCTGTGTTACACGATACATTGAAATAGCTGAATTTCTTATTTCTATATCACTAACATTGGGTTTTGTGTCAGTTAACAGTACCACCAAAACCGTATAACCAAAAATTTGTAAAAACTTATCTTATTTACCTAAGCCACATTTTTGGCATTCATTCAGATGCACAATCAAAATTCATTGAACCAAGCTTTCCAGTTTGCAAACAACTCTATGGGCACTTTGCAACATGCATTAAAGCTGTTAAATATTGCTGTTTTCATCTTCTACCTGGCCAAAAGATGTAGGAGTTATCTTCTTAAAAGAATTCCCCAATACATACCAGGCCTAATTAAGTTCTCTATTATAAAGGACATTCTGAAATTCTATAGTATTTTCTCTGTAAATTGTACTTTATCAACTTAGGATTGATAGATTTTGCAAAAAGCAATAAAATACTTCCTTGGAAAATCTTTTTAAGATATTTTTAATAATTCTTTTAAATTTTCTGTTTATTCTCCAAAAATCTTGAAGGAAGTATTGCCTTGACATTTTTGTATCCTCTTTGGTGCCAAGCACAATGCTTTATCCATAAGCTTTCAGTAAAAGGTTGAATGATTCTTTAGCATGCTTCTTGCTAGTTATGTGAACTGAAACTTTGTATGCTCTCTGTGAAAGAAAAGAATCACGTGCCTTCCACGTAAATGTTAGAAGATAACCACTCTGTCTTCTCTGATGGAATCTTTACTATTATTTTAACTTTTATCTTCCTGCAGCAATAATTTACTAAATAAAGATCTTGACAATTCTCTAAGAGCATATAACAACCACCACAGAATCATAGACTAAGGAAATCTGGCCCAACTGAGGGAGGAAAAGCAAATGATTATTGAGCTTCAATGAGGCTGTGAATATTCAAAGTTGAATGTTATATAATTAAGGGACATTCCCTGTACTCAAGGGGGTGAAGAACTATATTTGTTGAGCATGTCTATTAAAGAATAATAGCTAAAGATTCAACTGTATCTTTCCTTGAATCCCATATTGTGATCACATGGTTTTTATTGGTTTTAAGTATTTTTAAGTTCATTTATTTGTCCTTAACTTTTTATTGTCCTCTTACTTCAAGTGACATTTCACAAGAACATGTTGGGGCCCTTCCCAGTTGACTACTCCCTCCCCTCTGTCTGGCCAGACTGCTGTGTTCTAGTCTGTTCCAAAGGTCACTTGTTCCAGTTGAAATAGCTGTCTGGATGGCCTGGATATAATCCAGATACTGGTTCTTTCCTGCAAAGAAAGATGTTTGTTTCTTGGCTACATTTTGAAAGAAAAAAATAAAAGAATTTTATGTCTAAGTCTACTAATAGTTGGAAAAAATTAATGTAACTCTGGGACTAATTTAAAATTATTATTTTCCAGTGCTTTGTGTCGCTTTGCTTTTTTATATACTTTTGAAAATCAATTGTTTACTATTGGTATCATTAATAATTGGTATTATATAGCTAAGTATATGTGAGAAGTGTATGCGGAGGGATTTTGGCAAATATGCTAATTTCTCTCACACACATACACAAACACACTCTCACTTCATTTAGCTATTCAATTCTTCATTTATTTTATTCTTGGTATCTGCTTTAATTGAAGAAAAAAACTTAATTTGTACTAGGTAGTACAGAGAATGGGAGGAGACAGGTAGTGTGGGGATAGTCATAAATATTCAGAGATATCAGCTAACCCACACTTGGTAAAGTGGCTGTGCACAGATATTTGCCCTGTTCATTTTTCAGACGATTTGGACCATTCGCAAGCTAGGGAGTAATACGTATGATGCAATTATGTAAAAAGCTATTTCTCCAGTTGATTCCTCTTTAATTTCCCCTACTTCTCTGGTAATGCCTACAGTTTTAATCTTTTCTACATAAAAGGAATTAAACAGGAACATACCGGAGGATAAGCTGGGCATTTGTTTCATGACTTCCTGCCATTAATGACAATTAGCAAAACAAATATTTCTTAGAATCACTTGAGTTTGAAAATTACTAAACCATACATTACTTGAATTTTTAAGTAGTTAAAAAAAGATTACTCATATAAACTACATTTGCTTTAGAACAACTCAGTCTGATTTATAGGGAACCACTGAAGTAAGATTTAAAACTGTATGATGTTACAGTTACAGTTACAGCTCTAGTCTGATCTTCGACTTTGGAAAAGTCCTGTCACGGGGTTCATGAAGTTCATGAACATCAGCTATTCTTGGCATAAAAAAGGAAGAAAGTCTTCCAAATAAACCAAAGATAAAAAAAATTTGTCATAGAAACCACATATTTCATCTTTTATTTACATATTAGTGATAAATAAATATTGAATCAACGGATCCTAGGTAAATAGGCATCTGTCCAGCAGTAGTCCTGTAAAAGAAGACAGCAGAGACCACAGAACTGTCCCGGCCTTTGTGTCTGTTTATTTTCTCAAAATCCGTGTATGGAAGTCTGTCCCTTTATAGAAAAGTTGAATGCAAGGCAAGCGTGGTTCTAAGATTCTCTCCTTTTTCAATCTTGCCTATTCCTAGGGACACATTGAAAGACAGATCTCAGAGCGTATTTACGTTGGAGAAATGGGGCCTATGCTTCTCTTCAAAAGTATTAATGGCTTGCCACATTTTCAGGTTGACTTCAAGATAAATGATGTCTGTCTCAAAGGAATTCAAAGGCTCTGCTGTTTCCAAGTAAACATTAAACCTTGAAAATGCCAGCAAAGAAATGTTGGAATGAATAAGATAATAGTATTTTGAAATATCAAAACACAAGTGTTCTTAAATATATTTACATGGAGAGAAATATTTAGGTTCACAGAGAATTTGTTACGTTTCTGGATTTTATAGGAACCTGCTTGTATGTGCTTAGATTTTATAACGAAGCCTTTATATGTGAGAACATGAATGTTAGAATACCTTCTCGAAACGTTTTCAAATAAAACTTGCCTTTGACATATGTTGAGTTATACTCCTTTGTGTAGATTTTTTGGTGAAGTTTTTCTTTTGCTCCACCTATAAAGAAAAGAAAATTCAGAGAACATAAAAATCCCCAGCTTGCTCGTTAAATATTCCAGAGGCAGCAATTGTATATCTCATCACTCTGCATCCCTTCCTGAAGCCTTAATCATAGCGCTGAAGCTAGAGAAAACAGCTGTCCTGGAAAACCACAAAGGGCTTGAGTATTTATCTCTGTTATGCAAATTGATCAAATCTGTACAAACTTTTACAAGTTATTTTACCAAAAACCCTAAAGCACTACCTCCTTGTTAGCAA